AACTCATCAAATGCATCCCCAGGTCTTCTGCTCCCCAGTGAAACATTCACTTTTGACGCAAAGCCCTAAATGCAAACTAGAGTAAAGTGCAGCAAAAAAACATCATCTCTTTTAAAACATCATCAACCTAATCTTCATGAAAAGAATTTAGAAAATCTTAAATAACATAAGAACAAAAAATAAAATCCTCAACCTTCAATTTATCAATGTCCGGTTCAATGACCCCGTACCGATGAACATCCCACAAAGGTTGCAGAACTAGTTGTTCAAACAACGTCTTTTTCCCCAAACGCTCAGCATCATCTTTGATCACCCCTTTCGAGACGTAACTGTCAGAAAACAGCCTTTCTTGTAATTGGGAAGCGGGTATACTGAGCTTCTCTGCCCATAACTTCGCGAAATCAGATAGAGTAAAACCATACCCTACAAGTAATAAAAAAGTGAGAGCTCCTATGCTCTAATATAGCATGTAAACGAAGCATGAGAAATTGACTACCGTGCAGAGCCGATGTAAAAATCACGTTGTCTTTTTCAGGAAAAAAGTACAGCTGTTGCTCGGCTGAGTCAACGTTCTTCCAATCAACTTCTTCCACCAACGTCCCAGATATAAAGCTACTGATGCAGCTATTGACCTGTAAATGTGCATGTCATCAGTATTCTTCAATTTACCCCGCCCAGAAATTCGAGATCAACGAAAGAGAAAGTAGAGCAATTACTATTTCCCATACTTGTTCACATAACCGCCTTAAATGTGCATACGCCTCCGCTGGGTTCAGCTTCAATTCAATAACCAATCTATCGATTTTATTTAAAACCAATACAGTGTCTAAATTTAATTCGATAGCTTTGCGAATGAGATATTCTGTTTGAGAGCACACGCCTTCCACCTATAAATGGCTAAACCGAATAACTGCTATTAAAAAACATGCACACATGCCCCAAAGGAAAATACGCAAGGCTACAATTCTTGCTACAACATTTCTTTCCTGCCGACCTACTACATTTCACACTTGAACGTAAGCTCACAAATTCAAATACTGTAACTTACTGCATCAATAACCAACAATGCCACATCAGACAATAAAAATGCTGATGAAACTTCACCAGAAAAATCAACATGTCCTGGACTGTCGACTAAATTCAGTATACAAGATCCATAAACTAATGAAATTCCAGACATTTTCATTGTAATCCCTCTTGTCTGTTCATCCTAAGACAAAGCACCAGCCATTAAATTATGAAATAAGTGGAGGAAGCATAATATTACATTATCATTATAGAAAGAGAGCATTATCAAGCAACCAAAGCAAACTAATGGCTCAGAAAGTTACACTACAACCACGCACGCGAGCAGTAAGATTTCATCAAGCAGCGCTGACTCCACAGAAATTTTTACAAGCAAATTACTTCAAAATTTCAAAACATTTCCCATTTTTCATACTAAATACCAGTTACCTGCAAAGGTCAAGAAACTGTACCAGTACCTCACGACTGTCTAAATACCGCATCTTTCCAGCAAGGCGAGCTGATATTATTCCATTTGATGATAATAAACAATCTGCTAAGCAAGTTTTACCGTGATCAACGTGAGCAATAATACAAACATTACGAATACGATCTGCATTTACCTGAAATATTAGCCACAATTATTGCCTGAAAAATGGAGTCTTAACTGTTTGATAATAAACATTCTTGTAAACCAGTAAAACAACGAATATCTAGTACCAATATAAAAATAGACTAGAATTTAATTTCCTCTATTATAAATATTGTTTACAGTGACAAATCAAATAGCAGAAAACTATTACAACAAGGATTCAAGATGATGTAGAGAGTATAAATCTTACTGCAGAAAAAACTTGCAACAGCTGACTGGTCATCTTCAACGATTTATTAATAAACGTACGAATCTGTGTTAATAACGTCAACAATTTCAGAATCCTAGTTGTGCTCTGTATCGACCCACCAAAAGATAGCTCGAAGGCCTTGAAGACCCTTGCAATATTTTTGTAGCACAAAGAAATAAAAATTCTAAAAAGACAACTGAAGAACACGCCATCACCGAGAAACGCCAAAAATACAGTGACGCGCAACACGCGTGTTCATAAAACGGCAGCTAAAAGCACTGTTAGGTCAACCCCTGAGGCAACCCGTGAAGTAAACCCTAAAGCAAAAATCTCGACTGGTACTGCTACACATCGATACACAACACCAGAAACCAATTTGAAACTTCAAAACCCTGATTCAGTGATGACACCAAGTCCTTTTATAGTTTGAAACATCTCGATCTACCAGAAGCCATTTCGGCAGCCCACATTTTCCCTCCAAAAAGGTTAGGCATTGCCTATACATAAGGTTTCGAACTGTGCGGTATATAGCACCTTTCGTAGTGGTCAGATTCCACAAAGTAACTCCATGCTTACAACTTTGAGTATTCGTGACCTTAGAAAAATCAATAATTTCTGCCTCAAACAACAAGGCTAGACTTGTAGTTTAAATAGCCACTATACAAGACATCGAGACAGACTTCGTAGAAGGTCGAGACAGATGTCTTGAGGAACAACAAAGTGAGGTTTTCAGCAGTTCTGAACATGATTTTTAGCTTCCATATTATATTCCAAGTGCGATATAGTGCGATTATTTTCTGTAATCGTTCAAATATAGCAGCCAAATATCTCCTTGTCTAAAAATATGTTAATACCAAGCAGTTGCCATTTATTTGATACTATAGTACCACCACTGGTAGTCCAGCAGTAATCTGCTTCAGCACAGCAGAGTTGAATGCTTGATCACACCACAATTACGGATCCAGGCTTGAACAGTTGGAAACTGAATGACAGTTGCTGACATCATTCTCTGTAACTGATAAAGCAGAATGTATTCGTCAATTACTATCTGATTTTGCGCCGAGTACACTGTTTCTTTAGCCCTTAATAAACATCACGAAAACGCACAACAGCTAAATTTTTCCCGAAAAAAAAAAAAAA